TTTTGTTAAATCCCATCTCAAATAGACGCTAATAGGATCAAAAATGCCTAAAACTAGTTCAAAATATTCCCAAATTGTCGTGCGGACATATTACATGACGTAAACATTACCACAATTGTAATTGAATAGTTTTTGTTTTGGCTTTCTTAGGCATTTTCTTGAAAACTTTGAAATAAGTCCATTCATAGAAACAAATATCTTTTGGAAATTTATCAAATTCTTCCCAGTAAGATTTAAGTTGTTCTTTTGAAAAAGATTTTTTTGATAAGATGTCTAAATTTTTTGACTTCTGGAGTTTGATGAGTTGAATTCATTTCTTCTATCAATCTTAGAAGAAATAACATTACATTGCTAATCAAGTCTTTTAGATTGAGGAGGAGGAACAATATTTGATAAAGTAGGAGAAGTAGAGGTTCTATTTCTCCTTCTTTATCAAATGCTTCAATTTGATAAAACGGTTTTGAAATTTTTGGATCAAAATCGACTCCCTTTAAAGAGGAGGTTGAAAATCTAGCTGATTGAAAGGAATTTGTCCTAGATTTATTGTCAGATGTAGATGAATAAGATCTTTGAAAAGTATTTGAGGATGAAGGTTTATCAAAAATAACCTTGACTTTCAACCTATACGAGCGTGAAACTGTTTCGCCAAATAGTTTGGCACCTATCTCTACTGATTCGTTAATGACTGTTGTAAGTACTACTGACTCCGCCATCTTATATAGCTCGTTCTCTCTCAAATGTGAAATCTGATCAAGCAACAGAAATTAACTCAAAGATTAGATGTACAATTTTGCAATTATTTTATAAGTAATATTACATAATACTTAGTACATGTCCTTCATGACATTCCATGAGTTAATCAGAATACTCATTAACCAGCCAAGAATCAAAATACCTCTCCATAGTCACATTGTTTGGACCAAACTAATTTAATTACTATGACAAAACTTATAACTTAATAGAGTATCTTGGATACACCAATCATATTTCCTAGTAACTCAAACTTGCATGGTTTGGTGTACCATCTTCTTTATCGAGTATCATCTTGTTACTGTCTTGCATATATATTCAACATTA